AAAGAAAGCGAGCACAAGCAAGGGGGAGTGGCAGGCAGAGGGAGAAGCAGACTCCCCGCTCAGCAGGGAGCCCAACACTGGGCTCAATCCCAGGACTCTGAGATCATGACCTAAGTCAAAGGCAGACGCTTAACCAACTGAACCACCCAGGCACCCAGAGGCTTGTTTTATTCTGAATGAGATGAATGAGATGGGAAACCAGGCTTTTGAAGGTGGTGTTTTAAAAACCTCACTCTGGTTGCTAGGTATGGAACAAACTACAGAGGGGGAGGAGAAGTGGAAATGGTGAGACTAGTTAAGAGGCTACTATAATCATCCAGGTGAAAGATTAGCAGCTTGACTAATTCTTTCTGGTGGAAATAGTAAAAAGTAGTTAGATTCTCAATTTATTTTAAAAGTACAGCTGACATGCTTTGGGGTGCCTGGGTGGCTCAGTTGTTAAGTGTCTGCCTTTGGCTCAGGTCATGATCCCAGGGTCCTGGGATCAAGCCCCGCATCAGGCTCCCTGCTCAGCAGGAAGCCTGCTTTGCTTCTCCCTCTCCCACTCCCCTGCTTGTGTTCCCTCTCTCGCTGTGTCTGTTAAATAAATAAAATCTTAAAAAAAAAAAAGTATAGCTGACATGCTTTGCAGATATGGAAGGTGGGGAAAAAAACCAATCAAGTATGATTCTAAAGTGTGGGGCCTGAGCATGTGGAAAATTGGAGCTACCACTTTCTGAGATAGAGAGACCTGGGAGAAGAGCAGATTAAGCAGGTTGGTGGGATGGGAGTGGATGAGGATGGAAACAAATATTTGGTTTTCATAAATATAAGTTTGAAATACCTAGTGGATGTCCAAGTGGAGATGTAGAAGGGGCAGGTAGATAAGGATGGATCTCAGTGGAGAGATCTGGCCTAGAGATACAAAACTGGGACTAGTCACCATATAGACAATATATAAAGCCAGGTGACTACATGATATTACTTAGGGAATAAAGGTAGAGAGAAAAGTAGTTTGAATAAAACCCTACATAACTCCATAACTAACTGGTCAGGAATGTGAGAAAGCAGTCATGTAGAAGAATCAAGAGAAAATGGGTTTTACAAAGACTCCATCAAAAAGGAGAACTACAGACCAATATCTCTGATGAACATGGATGCAAAAATTCTCACCAAAATACTAGCCAATAGGATACAACAGTACATTAAAAGGATTATTCACCACGACCAAGTGGGATTTATTCCTGGGCTGCAAGGTTGGTTCAACATCCACAAATCAAACAATGTGATACAATGCATTAATAAAAGAAAGAACAAGAACCATACGATCCTCTCAATAGATGCAGAAAAAGCATTTGACAAAGCACAGCATCTTTGGGCGCCTGGGTGGCTCAGTTGGTTAAGCGACTGCCTTTGGCTCAGGTCATGATCCTGGAGTCCCAGGATCGAGTCCCGCATCGGGCTCCCTGCTCGGCAGGGAGTTTGCTTCTCCCTCTGACCCTCCTCCTTCTCGTGCTCTCTGTCTCTCATTCTCTCTCTCTCAAATAAATAAATAAAATCTTTAAAAAAAAAAAAAAGCACAGCATCCTTTCTTGATTAAAACTCTTCACAGTGTAGGGATAGAGGGCACATACCTCAATATCATAAAAGCCATCTATGAAAAACCCACAGTGAGTATCATTCTCAATGGGGAAAAACTGAGAACTTTTCCCCTAAGGTCAGGAACACGGCAGGGATGTCCACTATCACCACTGCTATTCAACATAGTATTAGAAGTCCTAGCCACAGCAATCAGACAACAAAAAGAAATAAAAGGCATCCAAATCAGCAAAGAAGTGAAACTCTCACTTTTTGCAGATGATATGATACTTTATGTGGAAAACCCAAAAGACTCCACCCCAAAACTGCTAGAACTCATACAGGAATTCAGTAAAGTGGCAGGATATAAAATCAATGCACAGAAATCAGTTGCATTTCTATACACCAACAAGACAGAAGAAAGAGAAATTAAGGAGTCGATTCCATTTACAACTGCACCCAAAACCAGAAGATACCTAGTAATAAATCTAACCAGAAGCAAAGATTCTGCACTCAGAAAACTACAGAATACTCATGAAAGAAACTGAGGAAGACACAAAGAAATGGAAAAACATTCCATGCTCATGGATTGGAAGAACAAATATTGTGAAAATGACTATGCTACCTAGAGCAATCTACACATTTAATGCAATCCCTATCAAAATACCATCCACTTTTTTCAAAGAAATGGAACAAATGATCCTAAAATTTGTATGGAACCAGAAAAGACCCTGAATAGCCAGAGGAATGTTGAAAAAGAAAAGCAAAGCTGGTGGTTTCACAATTCCGGACTTCAAGCTGGATTACAAAGCTGAAATCATCAAGACAGTATGGTTCTGGCACAAAAACAGACATATAGATCAATGGAACAGAACAAAGAGCCCAGAAATGGACCCTCAACTCTATGGTCAACTAATCTTCGACAAAGCAGGAAACAATGTCCAATGGAAAAAGGACAGTCTCTTCAACAAATGGTGTTGTGAAAATCAGACAGCCACATGCAGAAGAATGAAACTGGACCATTTCCTTACACCACACACAAAATAGACTCAAAATGGTTGAAAGACCTAAATGGGAGACAGGAGTCCATCAAAATCCTAAAGGAGAACACAGGCAGCAACCTCTTAGACCTCAGCTGCAGCAACTTCTTCCTAGAAACATCACGAAAGGCAAGGGAAGCAAGGGCAAAAATGAACTATTGGGACTTCATCAAGATAAAAAACTTCATCAAGATTATGTTAATTAAAAAAAGGAAAAAAAAAGAGGAAATAGGGTTTTAGAAGTTCAGAAAATGTTTCCAGGTGGAAGGAGTGACCAAATGTGCTCATGCTGCTGATAAGTTGAGCAGGAAGAGACGTGAGAACTGGTCACTGGATTTGACCAAGATGGAGTTACTGGATATCAGTGGAGTGACTGGGGCAAAAGCCTAGCAAACACGAGTTCAAGGCATTAAAATGGAAGGAGAAGTAGAAAGAGTGAGAATAGACAACTCTTTCAAAGAATTTTTCTTTAAAGGGAAGCAATAGCTAGCGGGGAATGTGGAGTTATCTGAGTTTTTGTTTTAAGACTGAGAGATAGATTTTTATCTGGTAGGAATAGTTCAGTAAAGGAAATATTTGATGGTACATGATTAAGGAGAAAGAAGGGATAACTACAGAAATAAAGTCCTGGAGGGAGGAAAGGATAGGATGAAACACACATGAGTAGTTTTTTCTACTTTTCCAATTACCTGGCAAGAAGGGCAATAGGATCCACTGCATTGAGAAAGAAATTTTTGTAACAAAAGTATATAAATAAAGATTCAATCGGAACTATAAGTTTATGTGAACTGTTCATCAAGGACAGTAAAGACTCATACCCTCCAAAGTTCTCTGATTCTTAATTAGCCTTTACTGAAAAAGATTTATGACATATTTTGATTCCTAAAAAATTCTTCATTCATAATAAAGTAACTAATTTCAGGACCATAAATATAAACACAAGCCTCTTTAATCCTCATGATTCTCCCTTCAGATCATTTAGAAATGAAATAAAGTGAAATAAATGGCTTAATATATACTTAAACATGTTTTATTTTCCATCTTCTAAATATTTATACTCTTTTTTTCATATTTCTCTCATGTCTTATTATTAGCAGAAATGTTTATCACTAAGACTCTTAATATAAATCACTATGGACCTAATTTTAGAAAAGACATCCTAGACTATTTTTATCAATGAATGGAAGCACTAGCTTAAAGTGGTCATTTTCATTCATATCCAATTTTAAATACAATATGAAAGAGAAGGATGCTTTTCGGGCTCCAGTATTTCCTTTATCCTGAATTTACACTGACTTTTTAGTCTATATGGGCTTTTTTTTTTTTTTTTAAAGATTTTATTTATTTATTTCACAGAGAGAGACACACAGTGAGAGAGGGAACACAAGCAGGGGGAGTGGGAGAGGGAGAAGCAGGCTTCACGCAGAGCAGGGAGCCCGACGCGGGGCTCGATCCCAGGACACTGGGATCATGACCTGAGCTGAAGGCAGACACTTAACGACTGAGCCACCCGGGCACCCCTATATGGGCTTCTTATAGAAATAAAAAAATCAAAGCTAATGCACCCAGATGATCTGAAAATAAGTAACCATAGTAACAAACAACTTCCAACAAACAACTCGATACACTTGGAAAACCCAGGCATGTTGTAACAAAAGAAACAGAAAGAGTGGTAGACAATTCTAATTGTTGACTTCAGAGAGTAACACCAGATACTAATTAGACCTGAATTCTAGACTACCTGAATTAACAGGTGAAGAATGGAAAGTCGTCTTTCTAAACCAACAAGAAAATTTTGTACTGCTTTCTCCTTATGAGTTTTCAGGATACTACTATAATACTCATTTCCATTTTCTAATCTGTTTTCTCATTTAGCATTGTCCATTCATTGCTTCATGGTGCTTTTATCATATCCCAAATCCACTGAATTTGGGTGAAACTTAAGATAATTGCCAAGTTATCACCATACGAGAAAAAAGGAGGGAGGGAACACTTAATAACCATCATCTTAATTAGCCTGAGAAACAATTAAAAAAAAAAATAGGGGAACACTGATGTTAATGAACAGTATTATCCACATATGTTTATCAATGACTATGTTCTAAGCTTCTGAAATTCTAGCAGTATGCTTCCCCAGAAAAGTCTAGAAAATGAGTTTGATTTTTTAATTGCATTATAACTTCACTGAACTTTAATTCTCAAGCAGAAATGACAAAGGGCCTTGGTTACTCCTGAGAGAAAAGCAGAGTAATTTTAACTGCACTCCTGTTTTTAACTTAATAGCATTAATAAAAAGTGCTCATCAAATAAAAAATAACATTATTTGTTTTATAATAACAATAGTTAGCTAAAAGATCACATTTTTGTAATTTATTGATTTTTTATTTGGCCAAAACAGCTTACCTGGTACAAAATACTCTGTTTGCACAAGCCAGTGAAATTCCAAATGAAATCCCAAGTGTATGGCCTTAAAGGTGACAAGGAAAATCAAATAGAGAACGGACACTGTGCCTGTGAGAAAAAATTCAGAAACCATTTATCATCTTTGCATGTTTTACAGACTATTTTAAAATTAAGCTTTGTTTCTATATTCTCAGCACAGTTTGGAAAATTATTACTCTCATTGATTATGCCCACTAAAACCCAGGTGGGATCTAAAGAATAGAAACAAGTTAATATGAGTTTTCAGAAAGCAAAATACTATGCAGTAGGCCTAAGAAGAACTAGAGGAAGGTAGCTCATATATTGAAGAATGCGAAACTGTTTAATTTATTTAAGAGCTCAGTTAAGAGGACACATGCAAAGAATTCATTACAAAACTGTAAGCTTATACAGGAGAAAAAAAAACACAACATGAAACTGACTCTTATTCTTTGTATTGGAAATATTAGAGATGGTGAATAAGCTGGAAAAGTCTGTCACAGCGTTTACTATATGATAAGAAAGTAAAGAAAGAAAAGTAGTGAATGTGGATCATAAGACTATTTGAGAAAGGCGATAAGCCAAATAATCCATGAACAATCTGATCTAGGGTTTGACTAGGCAGTACTACCTGCTAGATGACAATATTATAGATTCCATTCATAGGTAATCATACACAGGGTGAAGTGGGTATTCAGATTTTTTAGTATTCTAGAAGTTGGAGAGTTTTCCTTTCAAAGAATTAAGCCCAGTCATTATGGAGTAGAGTCAAGAAATCCAAGTAGGTTTCTTTCTATAGGAATTAGATACTAATTTCTGTAAAGAAGCTATAATTTTAAAAGAAAGGGAAAGTACCAAAAAAAAAGGGGGGGGCAAAAGCAAAATATTCTTAAGGAGGTAGAGAATAATCAACTTGGTTACAAGTCTGGTGATTGTTCTAGCAAATATTTTTACCAGTCTATATGCTAACTTTTAAAGATCTGTTCCATAGGAAAGTCAGCAAGCAAATCAGGAAACCACAAACGAGTTATATAAGCTCACTGTGCATTTGCAGATTAGCTGATTCAGAAACGATAAAAACAAAAGGACAAAGCTTATATAACCACAATGCTTGATTTTCTGTGTGTGTCTGCGGCAGTCTTGGAGAGAATCCAATTGTAAGGCAGAGAGGTATAGAGAAATATCCTTACCTCCTCCTTTGGTTTTCTGAAAACGCCCAAAGCCAACTCCTTGATGTGATGAGTAATCTAATTATTTTATACTCTACACTGCCTACCAGGAGATCAGATCTATAGGGAGGAGGTGAAACCCTATGTTTTATTTGGGGTAATCAATTTTTTATGAATGTTATCCTTATCTTTAGTTAGCCAGATCTAAGTTTTTATTGGCGGTTCCTTTTGCCATCTTAAAGTTCAGTACTGCAAATGAAGATGGGATCAAAAACATTCCTTTAATGATGCAGAAATTTGTGAAATTTCTTTAGTGATTTCAGAAATTTCTGAAAAACTGGGGTCACGGTAAGAAGTCTGTTCTTTTAAGGAGGCAATAGTATTCCAATAAAGGAAAAGCACTGGAGAGCAAAAGCAGAATAAACCTCATTAGGCTGACTTAGAGAATGATGCCCCAGGTTGAAAGCTAGGTGATAATTCTGTGCTATACTCTTAAATAGAAACTGTAGGAAAAAATATTCCATAACTTCCCTTAGTAAATTCTTATGTTTCCAATCCTTAGTATTAAGAATCCCTGTTAATACACAATTTGGATCTCTCCTCCTGAAATCTTAATCTGTTTCCTCTAGTTGTACCCGCCAAAGAAATGAGGAACAGTGGTTCAGTAAGGATAGAATGGGAAATCTAATAACTCATATTTAAAAAAAAAAGAACTTGGACTTGAAATGGTCATCTACATTTTTCTGTGTCAAACTCCACAAAAAAAAAACAGAAAGCAAGGTGACATATGAATGAGCAAATTAAACATAGGTTAACAGGCCTGGTAGGTAACTTTCTCTAGCCAGATCATATTTCCACAGAATCCAGTGTGTACTCTATTACACAGAAGCTCCATGACACAGTGCCTCAGCTTACCTAGGATATTAAATTTTGAAAAAAATGAAGGAGATTTGAAATTGAGCAGTGGCAGGAGGAGCCCTATGAGGTAAAAGGGCACTGTCTTGGACTTATTCCACCACTTTTCAAACTGCTGGAGTCCCGTGTCATTGGCATAGAAAATCATAGAGCCATTGTCAGGATGGTCACCACTCCCAGGACTTGGACAAATCACTGCAACAGAAAGCATCAGATTAGAGAAGACCACGAAGAATACAAAATGACTACCCCAGAGACTGACACTTGCTCTACCAAACTCAACTTGTATCATGAATAAGTTTTTGCTTTCTGAAATAGAGGGTTATATTTAAACACATTAGGAAACTTTTACTTACAAATAATTAAAGGTGGAAGAATCTTAGAAAATTCTGAGGTATATCCTTAATTTCTTTTTTTTTTTTAAAGATTTTATTTACTTATTTGACAGAGACAGACACAGCAAGAGAAGGAACACAAGCAGGGGGAGTGGGAGAGGGAGAAGCAGGCTTCCCGCCGAGCCGGGAGCCCGATGTGGGACTCGATCCCAGGACTCTGGGATCATGACCTGAGCCGAAGGCAGTCGCTTAACCAACTGAGCCACCCAGGCGCCCTATATCCTTAATTTCTATGGGAAGCTATAAAATTATCCTACCAAGGGCGCCTGGGTGGCTCAGATGGTTAAACGTCTGCCTTCGGCTTGGGTCATGATCCCAGGGTCCTGGGATCGAGTCCCACATCAGGCTCCCTGCTCCTTGGGAGCCTGCTTCTCCCTCTGCCTCTCTCTCTCTCTCTCTCTGTCTCTCATGAATAAATAAATAAAAAATTAAAAAAAAAAAATTATCCTACCAACTATCTTTTGGTTCCATTGCCAGAGAGAAAATTTTGGACCAAATGGTATTTGATCTTATTTATATAATAATGTAAGAAATACTCAGGGTGATTGTTACCTTTGTGCTAATAACCCACACGAAGGCCAAACAACAGGTTTGTTTGTTTTTCTTTTTAGAAGGTGAGAGGGGCAAAAGGAGAGGGAGAGAGATAATCTCAAGCAGGCTCCACACCCAGTGCAGAGTCCAATGTGGGGCTCAATCTCACAATTCTGAGATCATGAACTGAGTCAAAGTCAAGAGTCGGATGCCCAACTGACTGAGCCACCCAGCCGCCTCAGAACAGATTTCTTTTAACAATAAACAAAATCTATGGGTTTGGAATAAAAAGTGGACAGCACTGAAACAGATGACATGGTATTGCCAAAACCTAACTACTGCTTATAGCTTACGAATCTTGAATTTCAGCAATCTGGAATAATTCTCGTGAAAGTTTATCACATATTATAGCAGCCTAACAGCCTAGATTATATCCAGAGAACTGGGAACTGAGTAAAACATATTTTTCCTAACACTGATCTTCAAGTGGCAATTTCTGCTGTTAGGACAGAGGATACAAATCATTCTGTGTTTCTAATTTCATAATAGTACTCTTCCTAATAATCAGCCCTTTAAAAAGAACTCTTAATGCTGGTGAAAAATACTCCTAATAAGTAACAATCATTCTCATCACTAGTCAAAGAGAAAATGATATATTCATTTTAAGTTCTGTTTCTAATTTTATTCTCTATCCATTATATATTTGGCATGCCACAAAGCCAAACACTTAATTTTCTTGCTTAGTTAGCATTTTAACATATACTTTTGTCTTCTATGTCTGGACAGAAGTAAATTAACTTGAATTTTTCTTGTGCTAACAATTACAGTGGTAAAGAGCACAGGCTGTGGAAGTAAACTGACTAAATAATGAATCTTGACTGTCACTTAGTAGTTATGTAACCTTGGGCAAGTCATTAACTTCGCTGTGTTTTGGTTTTTCTATCTAAGAAGTGAAGTTGACATTATCTACCTTACAGAAGTGCTGTAAAATATTTAGAATAATGCCTGCACACAGTGAGTATCCAATAAAGGTCAGCTGTAATTTTACATTAACTGAGATGGACTGTTTCATAGTATTTAACACATCATTCAAAGAGAAGAATGCAAAGTAAACTGCCTTTGCTGATGGTACTCTCCAAATCATCAGTGTAATCATGAAACTTATGAATATGTTTTAAAATTATACCAAAATACGTTAATATAATTATTCAAAGGTGCGTGTGTGTGTGTCTGTGTGTCCACAGAAAAGCTGGTACTGCACTCACTCATTTGCTAGTGTTAACAAAACACAGGTTAATGAGTTTAATTAAGGAACAAAGTAAGACACTGAATAGTAAACATTGAAAGGTTTGCTTTAAGAGAGGAGAGACTTTTGTCTGTTCATTATATCCCCAGAGCCTAGAATAGTTCCTGACATATAAGAGGCTTAATAAATATATGTTGAGGGGCATTTGGGTGGTGCAGTTGGTTGAGCGGTAACTCTTGATTTTGGAACAGGTTGTGATATCAGGGTGGTGGGATGGAGCCCCTCGTCGGGCTTGAGCTCAGCACAGAGTCTGCTTAAGACTCTCTGCCCATCCCCCTGGCAGTGTGCTTTCTCTCTCTTAAATAAATAAATAAATCTTAAAAAAAAAATAATATATATATAGAATGAATTTTCTTCTCATTGATCAATGTGTTCATCAAAAGGATATCAATTTACTATCTCTGAAATCTAAACACATAAATCTAAATACATAATGTAAAGATACATTAGTATTTCTGAAATCTAATACTCTAAAATCTAAATCATTAATACATAAAGCTTTAGATGATGTTAAAGGTTAACAGTGTAACTGTTAAGAAGGTTACATTAGCTTTTACTTTTTTTTTTTAAAGATTTTATCTATTTATTTGAGAGAAAGAGAGAACAAGTGAGAGGGAGAGGCAGAGGGAGAAGCAGACGCCCTGCTGAGCAGGGAGACTCACTCGGGGCTCTATCATAGGACCCTGAGATCACAACCCAAGCTGAAGGCAGACGCTTAACCTACTGAGCCACCCAGGTGCTCCTACATTAGCTTTTACATTCATTTCCTCATGACTGCCATAGTGGATAAAACCACAAGCCACAAAGATTTATTTTTAACAAATTAATTAAAGGAAACTTTTCTAAGAAATTAAGATTTTCTTTTTTTGCCAGGCCTTCCAATTTATTTTTCTGCATTTACTAACCTTTGTTCATTATTAGGAAATTATTTTACAGGATACAGATTTGTATATCTTAAATATTAGTAAATAATACAGTAAATTGTCTAAAAAAGTTAACAACCTGAGAACTATGCTTCTAGACTTCCAAAACAATTAGCAAAGACACAAACTCTTAAAAATATGTATTGACTATTCATAGGCAAACATGGATTCTATAGATGGAGCTACAATTGTGAATTGTATAATATGAACTCAATCTTGTTTAGCTCACATTAATACAACCTTTTATGGAGTTCGGTTTTTTCTGAAACACATTGGTTGTCATCAATTTCACAGTGGCTCAGTTAACATAATGGTAATGATGTTGCACTAATTATTTACCTAAAATAAAGCAATATGTTCTACCTTAAATTCCTTTTGAAGCAAAGTGGAAAATAAAAAAACAAGCTAAACTTTAAATTTCAAACTACTCACCAGGGTTGCTATCATTGGTACTCAGTACAGCATCCGTGTCATTAATGTGATGAATAAAATCTAAAAATTAAAAGAAAAAATACAGTTTAATACCAAAATAAAGATGCTTATTCAATCACCCCCTAAAATCTTTGATCTATAAAATCTTTTAAGATCTACTGTGTGGTAATACTACCTAGTACACTGAACCAAGACTGCTTCATTGTTAACAGAGCTTCACCATTTTCAGCTTCCTCTACTTACAGGAATGATGTCATTGGCTTCACTGTTCCCATTATGGAAAATTTTTACATGATTGAAGATTTAAAGAAAAAAAAAATCTACCCACACGGCAGAATTTAGTTAAACCCTGGAATCAAGATAGAGTGTACAATTTTTTTCTTCTATTCACACTAACTGATATAAGTATAGTTACTTCTTATATAAAGTTCTAAAGCCTGCAGAGGGGAAAACCAACACTTATAACAGCAACACTTAGCTGGAGAATCACTTAAAGCTTTTACAAAGTATTATATATGCTTTTATAGACTGAAGATTATGTAGTAATTATTGCTCACATGTGCCACTAAGTTACACTAAAGGAAGTAGCAAAGTAAAAAAGCACATGCAGAATGGGAGAAGATATGTGCAAGTGACATATCTGGTAACAGGTTAGTATCCAAAACCCATCAAACTCAATACCTAAAAAACAAATAATCCAGTCAAGAAATGGGCAGAAGACATGAACAGACATTTTTCCAAAGAAGATATCCAAATGGCCAACAGACACATGGAAAGATGCTCCACATCACTCATCATCAGGGACATACAAATCAAAACCACAATGGGATACCACCTCACACCGGTCAGAATGGCTAAAATTAACAACACAGGAAACAACAGAGGTTAGCCAGGATGTGGAGAAAGGCGAGGCCTCTTACACTGTTGGTGGGAATGCAAACTCGTGCAGCCACTCTGGAAAACAGTATGGAGGTTCCTCAAAAAGCTAAAAATAGAACTACCCTACAACCCAGCAATTGCACTACTAGGTATTTACCCAAAGGATACAAAAATACAGATTCTAAGGGGTACATGCACCCCAATATTTATAGCAGCATTATCAACAATAGCCAAACTATGGAAACAGCCTAAAGGTCCATTAACTGATGAGTGGAAAAAGAAGATGTGGTGTATACATACATACATATATATATGTATGTATACATATTACTGGAATATTAGCCATCAAAAAGAATGACAGCTTGCCATTTGCAATGATGTGGATGGAGCTAGAGTGTATTACACTAAGCAAATTAAGTTAGTCAGAGAAAGACAAATACCATATAATTTTACTTATATGTGGAATTTAAAAAAACAAAACAGATGAACATGGGGAAGGAAAAAAAAAAACAGAGGACAGCAACCCATAAGAGACTCTTAACAATAGGGAACAAACTGAGCGTTGATGGAGGGAGGTGGGTGGGGGATGGGCTAAATGGGTGATGGGTATTAAGGAGGACACTTGTTATGATGATCACTGGATGTTATATGTAAGTGATGAATCACTAAATTCTACTCCTGAAACCAATATTACACTATATGCTAACTAGAATTTAAATAAAAATTTGAAAAAAAAAAAGTATCTGACTGCTTGAAATTAAAAAAAAAAAAAAGCATGTGCAGGTACCTGAGCATTCAAATCATTCTATAGTTAATGAGAGAATGGGTAAGAATGTCTTTCTTGTTAGACTGAAGTTATTCTGTTTGATTTTAATCTTTTATAACCTTGGTAACCCTTAAAAAAAGGGTTTAATGTGAAAGTTAAATGAGTTGATAAAAAATGCTGGATTAGATTTTCAGGTCATAAAGTAAATTAAGTATGTGAATTATTCACCTCCACTATATGCTTCTCAAGATAAAAGCAGTAGAGTAGTGCTCTAGGGTTTTGTAGTATCTTCAAGGGTTATTAGTGATAAGATTGGAGGTGATCAATCTTTATTTCCTGATGCCAAAGACTCAAATAAGGCTAGTAAAACCTTGACACCAAGTATGGTAAGGTGAATATTCTCCCCCCAAATCCATGTCCACAGGAACCTTAGAATGTGACCTTATTTGGAAATAGGGTCTTTATGGAAATAATCAAATTAAGATGAGGTCATACAGGTTAGGGCAGGCCCTAAATTCAATGACTGATATCTTTAATAAGGAGAGAAAAATGTGCACTAAGACACACTGAGGGGAGATGGCCATGTGAAGACAGGCAGAAATTGGGTGATGCAGCCACAAGCCAAGGAATGACAAGGATTGCCAACAATCAATCATCAGAAGCTAGGAGGAGGCAAGGAAGGAGTCTTCTTCCCTAGTGACACTTCAGTTTTGGACTTCTAGTCACCAGGACTGTGAGAGAATAAACTTCTCTTGCTTTAAGCCAAACAGTTTATGGTAATTTGTTACAGCAGCCTAATATACCAAGGCTCAATAAGGACAGTATGGGAAAAACAAAACAAAACAAACAGACTATAGGCTAATATCTCTTTTGAAAAGACACAAAGGTTCTAAATAAAATAATAATCCCACTCCTCTCGAGAGTAAACTGAAATCCAGTAAGAAATTAAAAAACAGACATCATGACTGCTAAACTAAGTTTATCTCAGAATATAAGAATGATTTAAATAAAAATATATTCATATAATTTACCATATTAACAGTTTAAGGGAGAAAAGATTGGGTTGCCTGAGTGGCTCAGTCAGTCAAACATTTGACTCTTGGTTTTAGCTCAGGTCATGATCTCAGGGTCGTGAGATTGAGCCCCGTGTGGGGCTCTGTGCTAGGCGTGGAGCCTGCTTAGCGTTCTTTCTCTCCCTGTCCCTCTGCCTCACCCCACCCTGCTTACACTCTCTTTCTAAAAAAAAAAAAATAATAAAACAAATAAAAGAGAAAAGATTTATGATCATCTCAAGGGATGTAGAGTATTAAGTGTCTGATAAAATACAGTACACATTAATAAAATTCTTCAGAAAATAATAGGCAGGAACATCTTTATTTTTATTTATTTATTTATTTATTTTTAAGATTTTATTTATTTGCGAGAGAGACAGTGAGAGAGAGACAGAGAGCATGAGAGGGAGGAGGGTCAGAGGGAGAAGCAGACTCCCCGCTGAGCGGGGAGCCCGATGCGGGACTCAATCCCGGGACTCCAGGATCATGACCTGAGCCGAAGGCAGTCGCTTAACCAACTGAGCCACCCAGGCGCCCGGCAGGAACATCTTTAAATTGCTAAAGGGTATAACCAATATCCCACAACAAACTTAGTATTTAATGGGGAAAGATTTCCACAGGAACAATATAAGGATGTCTACCAGCACTGCATCTACATAACTTTATACTTTAAAAAAGATAAACATGTCTACATATAAACATGTATAAATTGTGTTTGTGTATATATATATATATATATAAATATAAGGGTATCTGTATACAAATATAAATGTATGTATATATGTATGAATCACTTAAAGTAGTAACTGGACAGGAAGTTTTCATTACTCATGGAAATATAACTATCTAAACATAAAATCCAAAGTGAATCTACAAAATTAGAATCAATAAGAGTTCAACACATCTGCTAGATTCAAGACAAAGATTCCAAAATTTATTAGGTTATTTTATAATAGCAACAAATAATTTGAATTTTTATAATTAAAAAGTATATCACTACTTTCTAGGAAGATGGAATGGTTTCATGAAAGAGGTGTGGGTTACATGGATATATTCATCAAAATCGCATGGCTAAGATTTATGTGTTTCTATGAATGTATATTCTATCTAAAAAAGAGAACTGTGTATATAATAATAGTTAACTGAGGCGGGGAGTGGGTATAAGCATAGATCATGTTTTTTCAATGGATAGGATAATGACCCCAATGGGGGGGAAAATCTGTGCCTAGGAGGAAAAACAAAAACAAAAACACTCCTTATTCTTTTTACATATAAAGCACAAATACACACAGAGTTCATAAATGGATAAAAGTATATCTATGATATTAAAACAAACTGAATCAACTATATTTTCTAGAATTACAAATGACTTTTTGCTTTATTTATCCCAAGTCCAGAATTTAAGGCTGAAACTAAAACACTGCAGTAGTTACTGTATCTAAAAGTAACTACTGTTAAAGCAGATGATATGGATACTTACTAAAAATAAACCTTCCAGTATTAAAAAGAAAATTAGACATAAGCACCCAATAAACTATCATTGCTCCAGTGAGAGATACCAAGGAGAAAAGGAGACTCGACCACTGTCCAAAGGAGCCAAAATAGTATCTGCAGACATCTGGATATTCCCAGGTAGTGGTATCCACTGATGCTAGATAAAAATAAGAGAAAGAATAAAATTAGATGTTACTCATATATCCCATAATCATAATCTGTGTTCCCCCAATTAACTCAAAATATTTAGCAAAATATTAAGAATATTCCACCACCAGATATTAGACCAGAGAATGACATAACAGAAATTAAAACATTATAAACACATAAAAAAAATTGTAGGTCAACAAAACAGTACAGATAATAAAAGAAACAGATTACAGTATATTTTATAATTAATAACAACAAACGATAAATCAAGGCTAAGCAAATCATGAGTAAGAGTCAGAAGATATCATCCAATAATATTTGGCATACTTAAATAACATATGGAGGAAAGTTTTCCTGAGTCATACTTTATACCACATGCCAATTTCAGACAACTGAGCTAAGAATTCAAAAATTAAATAACAGAAAAGTTAGACGACAATATAAAAATAGACCTTGAAGGGTTATGCCTTTCTATCAAATGAAGAAACAGAAATTACAGTGGAAAAGATAGGTAGATATAAACAAACTTATATAATACAAAAGCCATTCAAATGTTGAATGGAAAAGAAAATTGACAAGAAATAATGGATAAAGGGCTAATGCCTACATCATACAAAGAACTTAGCAGATCTATAAGAGCACCAAGGGACTTGAGGATAAATGGGAAGAGATAAGAATAAATAATACAATTAAGAGAAAACATACCATTGCTTAATAGAGACCAAAAAAAAAATAAAATTGAAGACAAAGCCTGATCTCTTGATTCAAAATTGCTAAGATTCACTGAAATAATGTAGGTCTATTTAGGTCCTAAATTACTTTAAAAGAATCTAAAAAGGTATTTCCCTGATGCAGAATTTGTAGAGATGAGTAGAGGCAATGTATTATTAAGCTTTGTGAATTCACCGAAAAGGACACATTCATATTTTCATATTTTTCTGTTACATTTTACTTTTAGGAGATTCCAACATTTAGATCTCTTGGTAGAGGATAGATCAAAAGTCATCATTACCTGATAAGAATCATAGAATTTTCTTTTCTTTTCTTTTTTAAAGATTTATTCATTTGAGAGAGAGTGAGCGCAGGGGGAGGGGCACAGGGAGAGGGAGAGGGAGAGAGACAATCCTTGAGCTGACTCCCTGCTGAGTGAGGAGCCTGATGTAGGGCTGGATCCCAGGACCCTGAGATCATGACCTGAGCCGAAATCAAGAGTCCGACATTTAACTGACCAACCCACCCAGGCACCCCAGAATCACAGAATTTTCAATTTAGTTCTGGAAAAGACTTTATTTTAAAAATATGACCTTAATACTTTTTCTTATAAGGAAATCAGCATCAAAGTAAATGCATTCTGCAAAGAACTACAAACCTCTCTGAATTTCAAAGGTAGTCACTAATTCATTGATATATCAGTTCAGCTGAATGCTATGAATTAGAGAAGTGAATCTTTAGGCACAAAATAGTTAACACACATGTGGAATGTACACATTAGTGATCTACTTCAATAGGATATACTTATTAATACCCAAACTGTTACTCTGTTTTCACCATGGCAAACTCTTACATATCATAGCTCGTGATTTCACTACTCTGTAGCAGCAATAAAGTGTTAAAATGCCCATCAGCATGATGACACACATTCCAGTAGTAAAGCCAGCCTGTTTAAAAATACAAACATAAAACAACATATATCATCATGTTAGAATAATTCATATGCAACCATATTATGTTACCATACCCTAAACAATTATGATAAAAACCTGATGATATAAAATTGAATATAATTATCTATTTTCTTTAATAAATGTTGTATAGATTTATTAAAACCTCTATTGTAAAACTTACAAGTAAAGAGAAAAAAATTCAGGCAAAAAGTGTGAAAAAGCTGAAAAATTATATTACCTGTTTTATGCCCCAAGGAATACTTAATATAGATGTTCCCATCATGGTATTCCAAATCATAAAACTGAAAACACAGAATAGTAGCAGTAAAAATATGGAGTTTGACTCTTTAAACATTTTAATTAAGACAAAAATTAAAATAACCATGAATTTTCATTAACATATAGTTTAAGTTATGCTCCAAAAAGAAGTTTTACTCACATGGTTACTAAACTGGTGTTTTTGCCATATCCTTCAGTGTAACTTTGCAGTTTATAAGCAGAACCCAATGGACTATATACAAAGCACTCTTCTGGAGCTGGAACTACATGATCTGGGGCAATCTAGTAAAAGAAGAAATGTTATAAGAGAAATGCTACAACCAATAAATGTGTAAAGTAGGATATTTTCTAAATATCAGAGTACCTGACTCTAGACACAATTCTAAATATCATGAACAAACAAATAGCACGTATCCCTGATTAATGAATATAAAAAACCCTTTCCAAATGTAGTAGAAAATCTAAAGGACCAAGAGTTTATTTTTTTTTAAAGATTTTATTTATTTATTTGACAGAGAGAGACACAGCGAGAGAGGGAACACAAGCAGGGGGAGTGGGAGAGGGAGAAGCAGGCTTCCTGCCGAGCAGGGAGCCCGATGCAGGGCTCGATCCCAGGACCCTGGGATCATGACCCGAGCTGAAGGCAGACGTTTAACGACTGAGCCACCCAGGCGCCCCAGAACCAAGAGTTTAAAGAATAAGAGCAATAAAATGTTCATGTGAAATAACAATGAATTCCTAAAATATGCAACTATCAAAATATTTTTCTCTTCATTTTCATGAGAAATAAAGAAGAGTCAGCAAAGAGTGAGATTAAAGAATTCTAGATGGAGGAAATCTGGGTCTTAAGTGAGGGGAATTTCAAGAATCAAGTGGCCACTGAACTCCTCTGTGAGGGTGGTTTTAGCAACGAGGTAGGGAACTCAAACTATAAAGAAATGACACATCAATACAAGGTAAAGAAAGGAGATATGTACTTAAAAGCATTTAAAAAGCAGAAGTAAAAAGTGAGCTAACATAGCCTAAGGAAAGGCAAAGCAAGGATTTGTAAGGATGGAATATATAAACAAAAGGATAGGAACCAAGAGAGGCTGAAGACACACAAAATGACTGAATAGATACATTTTCTTATACACATAGCTCTCACCTTACCTCCCATACATATCTTCTGAATTCTACCTCCCTAGAGAGGGGGAAAAAATTAGTCTCCAGATAGAATTCTGCCCATCTCCCTGAGAACAGTCCTTTGGAATATGTAGTAGTCCCACATATAGTAGTATAGTAGTTAAAAACATAGGAGCTGACTGGTATAAATCAACGATCTTTTTTCTTTTTTAAAGATTTTCTTTCTTTTCTTTCTTTTCTTTCTTCTTTCTTTCTTTCTTTCTTTCTTTCTTTCTTTCTTTCTTTCTTTCTTTCTTTCTTTCTTTCTTTCTTTCACATGCGAGTAGGGGGGAAAGGCAGAGGAAGAAGGAGAGAATCTCGAGACTCCGCGCTGAGCACAGAGCCCCCCATGGGGCTCCATCTCACGACCCTGAGTTCATGACCTGAGCCAAAACCAAGAGTCGGACGTTTAACTGACTGAGCCACCCAGGCGGCCCCTTTTTTTCTAAGTAGGCTCCACGCCCAGCATGCAGCCCAGTGCAGAGCTTGAATTCATGACCCTGAGATTAAGACTTGAGCTGAGACGAAAAGTTGGAGGCTTAACGGACTGAACCACACAGGCGTCCTTCAACTATCTTTTATATTTAGCACCTACTACGTAAATCTACAACTCGGTGCTAGGTTTAGTGTTCAAGAAAAAAAAATACAGTCCACAACTTTAAGAAGCTTAAATTCCATTTGGAAGACACATGAAGAAATTAGATAAGGCTAGAAGAGAGAAAAAAATTGTGAGATACTGTACTGCAGGAATGATAAAAAATTAACAGGGACTAGAATAGTTAGGGAAGATGTCAAGGAAGTGATGGAATATTGAACCTCAGTAGGTAGACAGGATATGGACTGGTACAAAAAGAAAAAGTTTTGAGTCCTTCTCTATGCATATAATTGGTGGTAGCTTGTGGGTAAAAAATGTCTTGAATGCTATGCCTTGTGTGGCTTTGGAAACAACTATTTCTGAGAGATAAAAAGGCATATATAGAAATGGGTCTGCTGCCTTCTCTTTTACCCTTAATCCTCCTGGGTCTGAGTTATATAATCTTCTTCAAGGGAGTAAAAAGAAAAAAGGGAAAGGACCATGTCCGCATCAGGCAGGAGATAAACCATGATGGCTAGCAAAGTTCAGAAAAAGTGAAAACTGAAAGTTACAGGAGGCAGGATTAGAAGCTAGAGGTTAAGAAGTTGCAAATTCTAGGGCGCCTGGGTGGCTCAGTTGGTTAAGCGACTGCCTTCGGCTCAGGTCATGATCCTGGAGTCCCGGGATCGAGTCCGCATCGGGCTCCCTGCTCAGCAGGGAGTCTGCTTCTCCCTCTGACCCTCACCCCTCTCATGCTCTCTCTCTCATTCTCTCTCTCAAATAAATAAATAAAATCTTTAAAAAAAAAAAAAAAGAAGTTGCAAATTCTAGAGAGTTACAGACAAAATGGAGAATTGGATTCCATACTTTGGCAGTAATGTTGGGCAGTGTTTTTCTTTCTTTCGTTCTTTCTTTTTTTAAGATTTTATATATTTATTTGAAATAGAGAGAGAAACCAAGAGAGTGAGCATGAATGGGGGGGAGGGGCTGCAGAGGGAGAGGGAGAAGCAGACTCCCTGCTAAGCAGAGAGCCTGATGAGCCACCCAGCACCCAGGCGTAGGGCAGTGCTTTTCAAACTTAAATTTTCCTGTGACTGACACAGGGATGTTGTTAAATACAAATTATGATTCAGTAGGTCTGGAGTAAGGACTGAGATTCTGCATTTTTAGTAAGTTCTCAGTGATGCCAATATTGCTGGCCTGTGCAGGCCACATTTTTATTAACAAGTATCTAGGAGATGTTGGCAGTCAAATAATTTTCTTCCCTTCCCCATTTTAGAATAAAAATATTAAGATAAATGAGGAAATTTTCAGAAATAAAAAGGCACAACTCCGTAAAATCCTGAGACGTGTGGTTTCACACTGTTCTTCCCTTAAGCGCCTTTTAAGAAAAATAATTTTGTAATTCTCAGGAAATGAGCCTGGATATATACATACATTCACTAAAAATGGTCATGTCTTGGGGTGTCTGGGTGGCTCAGTTGGTTAAGCATCTGCCTTCGGCTCAGGTCATGATCTCAGGGTCCTGGGATCGAGCCCCACACTGGGCTCTCTGCTTGGCGGGGAGCCTGCTTGCCCCTCTCTCTCTGCCTGCCTCTCTGCCTACTTGTGATCTCTATCTCTCTGTCAAATAAAAAAAAAAATGGTCATGCCTTACTGTTAATTCTAGATCACTGTTTATATACTTTTACTAGAGTCATCTCACTGTCAGTTAACAAGAGGTATTCAACTTGGTGTACAATGTTGACTTAATTTCCAGGCAAACAATGTCCATTCAGGAATAGACTGGCCCAGCTGGTATCTCTGAAGTTTGCTTCCACAAGTAGAGCCTCTAGAAGGTCTGAATTAGACCCAGAGACATTGGATTACTTCTACTCCACAGAGGGCTTAGATAATTGTTATGGAACTAAGACTTTACTACAAGTACTGATATAAAGGCCTAGGGGAGGAAATAATGAAAAAATTGGGGGAAAAAAAATGACCAGAATATTTTGGAAGTCATTACTCTGGTTATACAAAAGGAGATCTTAATACTTCATAAGACTTTAAGTGAGATATCTATGTTCAAATGATATCCCAATCCTTGTCCCTCCCTCAGTAAACATCTAAAGAGTATTGGTTCCCTTCTCCTTTTATTATTATTATCAATAAAAATATCATTTTTCCTCCCAGAATGTTTCCATTTTTCCTTAGGCTTTCAAGTTTCTGCATATCTCATATGTGATGATTCTTATAAAGCAACCAAATTACTTCCCATATTTTTGATCCTAAAATAATAATACAGATTTTAGAAGATCAAAAGTCAACAACCATGGCCCATGGTCAAATCTGGCCTTCAACCTATTATTTTACAGCCTCTTTGCTAAGAATGGTTTTTATGTTTGTAATGATCATAAAACAGTAGTAGGGGTGCCTGGGTGGCTCACTCAGTTAAGCATCTGCCTTCAGTTCAGGTCATGATCCCAGGGTCCTGGGATCCAGCCCCGAACTGGGCTCCTTGCTCGGCGGGGAGCCTGCTTCTCCCTCTCCCTCTGCCCCTCACTCGTGCTTGCTCTCTCTCTCTGGTGCTCTCTCTCTCTCTCAAATACATGAAATCTTAAAAAAAAAAAACACAACCAAAAGTGAAGAAGACTATGCAATAGTATATGGCCCACAAAGCCTAAAACGTTTAGAATCTGCAATTTGACCCTTGTTTTTGATCTACAAAAGGACATTACTAAATAGCAAAATATTATATATGTTTGTATTTCAGTTTCCCACTCCTGTAGAAAACGTCTAAGAACTTTTTTCCCTTGTAGCTTCAAACTTAATAAATGAACAGACTAATCAGATCTGTTATTATTTATGTTATTTATCAATGACCTACTAAAGTACTTTAGTAGTTTATTCTCCTCAGAGCTCTTAGGATTGGGGACTAGCAGAATTCAATCCAACAAATTTCTTAGGCTACTGTCAACATAGAGAGATTGTTTCAAATCTCTATGTCATGCTAGATAAGACTGAGCTGGCCTGAGATGTAAAATGTGTACTAATTACTATCTTGATTTTCCATGATGGCATCCTTGGAATATGGCCAGCAAAAAGTTCAATCACTGGGAGTTTCCCTTGCTTATGCTGTTCACTGTTCATTTCAACTTAACCTTAGACAATTAGCAATGTTTGCCCCTTACCAGTGCCTTGTCTGCAGGAGCAGTGAGCCGGCTGTAGTAATGGATCCTCTTGTTCATGGCAGAGGCATGGTCGCTAACCCTCTGAATGACATCATTCACACTGACGATGTTTGTGGGCTCTATATAGAAAGGCCTAGAGAAGGGAATATATACTTGACAAAGAACATTCAGCCAGAAATTCTGGAAGTCAGCCATTGAAGAAAATAACTTCTTGTCCTCCATTAGAAATGGGATGTACGAAGGCAAGGCATTCAGTTCTCACTTTTGGTGGGAAAAGAAAATATCACAAAAGAAGTATTATCCAATCCAAAGACTAAAGCTTTTGTCTCATAATACTATTATAAATACACTTTTTTAATCTTTAGGAATTTAGCAATAGGAGATATAACAGAAAGAGTTTCAGTCAGTCATTAAAAAGAAGTATAGCAGCTATCAGTTTTCAACAATGAAATTTAGACCCACACAGCTTTGAATATCCTCTCAAAAAGCTTCTGGCACTAAATCAAAGAAATTATTGTCATAAATGTTTCTCTACTAAAAAGGAACTACTCTCTTCTACTAAAGAGTCTCCACTCCTTCTTTATGGGCCAAAATTACTTCCTATGACAAATAAAATATCTACTGCTTGGTTCATGTACTAAAGATTAGTAATCTCAACCACCTCCCTTGTGAAACTTGTCTGAAGTACTATCAAATGGAACATCAAGACACTAGAGATACTTTGCCTTATTCTACTTTATTTGGACTTCAGTAACAAATCCTATTATGCTATTATTTATGTGTATGCTTCTTTCCCATAACTATGTCCCAATCAACTGCAGATCAGGTTTTCAATCATGATTTTCAGTCACTAACCCTGCCAGTTCATCACCAAAACTCCCTCCGTTTGCTTCTAAACTTCCAGTAATATAATCCCAAACAGAAAGACCATGAAAAGTACTGCCCTTCTCCACTGATTCTCAAATCTCTCAAAGTCACAAATGATATTGTGCCCCAAACTGCATATGCTATGACCCAAATTGCATATAATATGCTATTTTCAAATTACACACAGATCCAAATAATGAAGGAAAAAACCCCTTAGATTTCTCTGAGTTCCATATAACTCTTCTACACAATGGGGTGCCTGGGTGGCTCAGTTGTTAAGCGTCTGCCTTCAGCTCAGGTCATGATCCTGGGGTCTTGGGATCGAGCCCCGCATCAGGCTCCGTGCTCAGTGGGAAGCCTGCTTCTCCCTCTCCCACTCCCCCTGCTTGTGTTCCCTCTCTCACTGTGACTCTCTCTGTCAAATAAAAAACAAAAAACAAACAAAAAAACAAAACAAAGTCTTCTACACTTACAGTTCTGAAAGAAGCTTAAAATGTATGTTAGTCATAAGCTGTAATCATCAAGAGAGTATGGTACTGGCATAAAAACAGACACATAGATCAATGGAACAGAATAGAGAAGCCAGAAATGGACCCTCAATTCTATGGTCAACTAATTTTCGACAAAGCAGAAAAGAATATCCAGTGGAAAACAGACAGTCTCTTCAACAAATGGTGTGGGAAAAATTGAATAGTCACATGTAGAAAAATGAAACTGGACCACTTTCTTATACCATACACAGAGATAAACTCAAAATGGATGAAAGACCTAAATGTGAGAATGTGAGACAGGAATCCATCAAAATCCTAGAGAACACAGGCAGCAACCTCTTTGACCTCAGCCACAGCAACTTCTTGCTAGACATGTCTCCAAAGGCAAGGGAAACAAAGACAAAAATTAACTATTGGGACTTCATCAAGATAAAAAGCTTTTGCACAGCAAAGAAACAGTCAACAAAACTAGAGGGAACCTATGGAATGGGAGAAAATATCTACAAACGTCTTACCAGCTAAAGGGCTAGTATCCAAAATCTATAAAGAACTTATTAAACTTAACACCCGAAGCCAGGGTGCCTCAGGGCAGGAAAGGCTTCTGCCGCCCCCTGAGGACCCAGCGCCCCTCCAAGAGCCAGGGCTGCATTTCCAATAAGTTCTGCAGCCGCCCCGGGGAGAACCTGGGCCCTTTGCAGCAACTTGGTGTCTCCTGGGGAACGACAGAGAAGCTGCCTTGTTGGCTGAGTGCTGAGGAGGGGGCTCTGGGCGGCTTCCCAGGACATGCTGATGCAAGCTTGTTTCTGGGGAGAAATCCTGACCTAAATTCAGAGGAAGGGGAGCTGCATTCAGCTGGGACAGGAATACAGGCACTGCTGACTCTCAGGATCTTCTAGAAGGAGCAGCTGGGATCCCAATTTCCAGGTTCTGCTGGAATCAGAGCCCCAGAGGTCGGAAGAAGGAAAGATGGCGGAGGAGTAGGGGACCCTGTTTCAACTGGTCCCCGGAATTGAGCTGGATATCTAACAGACCACTCTGAGCACCCCCGAAACCAGCCCTAGATGTAAGAAGATCTGGATCTCTACAAACAGAATATCGCAGGCGGTTGGTTTTGAGGTGCGAAGCGGGGAGCCCTGATTCCATGGGCAGATATCGGAGGATAAACAGCAGCGGGAGGTAGCCTGTCCATGGGGATCCTACACCGCTGGTGAGCGACAGCCTCCTGCGCTGGGGACGGGGCACAGACTTGCAGACCAGTAGCGGCGGGGAAAGGACTTTAGGGCAGCCCCCAGGGCGGAAACCCGGAGCGGTGGGGTGGTGCGAGCGAACTGGGAGCAGCTGGCAGTTTTAGAAGCACAAAGGGCAGAGACGTGCTCTGACCTGGAGGCAGGACTGGGGGCGCTGCGGAGGGGCGCACACCCCAGGCTGCTGCAGTTTATAGCAGTACGGACAGAAACGGAGATGGTGTGGCCTGGAGAGCTCACGGAAGAACAGACTGTGATCTCTCTGCTCTGAGGCAGAGGGTTCTGCTCTGACTCGCGGAAGAGACCCGGAGGGCCGCCAGGGAAAGGTGCCAGAGAACAAAAGCCCCAAAGACTGATTCCCGCTGAGCCCATCCCCTGCCACAGGAGGGCAGGGTAACTCCGCCCCAACAGGGCTGCCTGAGTAACAGTGCGGCAGGCCCCACCCCCAGAACAGGCTGGGAAAACAAGAGGCCAGCAACCCTAAGGTCCCAAGAAAACAGGTGCATCTTGCTTGGGTTCTGGTCAATAATTTGGGCTCTATACATTCCCTCAAACACTCATCAACAGAATGACTAGGAGAAGGAACCCCCAAAATAGAAAAGACTCAGAGATCATGACTTATGCTACAGATTTACAAATGGATGCAGATATAACCAAGATGTTGGAGATGGAATGCAGGCTAGCAATTGTGAAGACAATGGCTAGAATGGAGAAATCAATTAATGGCAACATAGAGTCTCTAAGGGCAGAAATGAAAG